CACCATATGAATCTGGCCGCAAATTAGCGTTTGGTTAAGCGTAATAACCGGAATAGTTTTCTTGCGAAGCTGGGTCTCAAATTGTGCTCAAGGGATTAAAGACAAGTGTTTCATATGTAAGATGTAGGAGAACTGGTTTAATTTCTGCCCCTAGCGTTGAGTCCAAAAACAGTCAGAAAAGAACTTCTATGCCGGGTTGAAAAAGTTCACAATATTTCACGAAGTTCGACAAGGTAAAAGTTCGCGAGTCAGAGTGAGCTTTGATGAATATTTTCAACACTGCTTCTAAGGGTGAGAAAATCGCCATGCCAAGGATCTCTTCTCACATCATGGAGTAATGTGGTGGCAGTTTCCTTCGCTATGCATCATGAATTGAATTGATTAACTGGCGCTTATCGCGATTACACCAGCCTTCCCGTTTTTGGAAACACTGTCTTTTTTGCATTCTATAAAATGTATCGAAAGCTTTATTCAATTTGAGATTGTACTGGACCACTCTTCATGGGTTAGAGGTCCATGTGGTATTTAATGAAAAAATGTCCAGAAAGCACTACCCAACTAACAATTTTGGCTGCAGACTAGCTGACACAACCGAAAAATTACGTTATGCATCTTATTTGTGCCTGTATAGGCTGGTCTTCAGCTAGAACTGTCTACATATCTGAGGAAAGTAATAGCTGATGAAAAATGTGTTGAAAAAACCATGCAGACACTGCAACTGGAATTTGTTGGAAAATTACTGGAAAATCAGGGAATATCAGGGAATTTTGCTTTCTTCATTGAGTCGACACCCTGGTATAACGGCAGTTCGCATCCATCTTCGAACCAGTAACATTGTCCGACGTCGAGGCCAAACTGGCTGCGTCAAATATCACTCTGGATGCAGTTGATTTAGACACGTTCGAAATTTCATCGGTGCTTCAAAAAAGTTGAAGAATTCATTTGCTCCTGGCCCGGATGGTATTCCTTCTGCTGTTTTCCGTCGCTGCGCATGCGCAGTAGCTGAGCCGCTAGCCTTAATTTTCAACCGTTCGTTTGAGCTAGGTGAATTTCCCATGAGATGGAAACTATCGTACATGTTTCCTGTGCACAAAAGTGGTGACCGACGAGGTGTTAAAAACTACCGTGGGATAACCAGCCTTTCTGCCGCATCGAAGCTTCTCGAGATTATCGTCAGTGATCAAATTCTACGCGCTTCAAAAAACCACATTTCGTCAGATCAACATGGATTTATTCCCGGTAGGTCTGTTACTACTAACTTGCTGGATCTAACTACTACCTGATTTTTGGCTATGCGGCTATGCTGAAGCGCAGAATGACGTAATCTATACGGACCTAAAGTCGGCTTTTGACAAAATTGATCATAAAGTGTTGCTCTGCAAGCTATCGCGATTGGGAGTCTCAAATCAATTGGTGTCGTGGTTGTCATCGTACTTGACTGGCAGAACGCTGTACGTTAAACACGGATCTTATGTTTCATCGCCATCAGCTAGCACTTCCGGTGTCCCGCAAGGAAGTAATTTGGGACCGTTATTGTTTATGTTATTCTTCAATGACGCTGCATCTACCCTTGACCACAAGTGCAAGCTCGTATATGCTGATGATCTGAAAATCTATGTGGTGGTACGCTGCATTGAGGACTGTTTTCACCTGCAAATGTTGCTGAACATGTTCGTTCAGTAGTGGTGCCGCTCGAAAAAGCTAGTCATCAGCGTCGCGAAATGTCATGTGATGACCTTCTATCGGTCCAAAGACCCGTTAATTTATGAATACAACATCTATGATACTGTTCTTAGCAGAGTAGATCAAGTGACGGATCTTGGTGTCGTATTGGACTCGAAGCGTTCCTTTTATTCCCAGTATGCATCGATTATTTCCAAGGCTAATCGTCAACTTGGCTTCATCTCTAAGATTGCCAAGGATTTCACGGATCCACACTGTCTAAAAGTATTGTATTGTTCACTCGTAAGGCCGATCCTAGAAAATGCTTCAGTTGTATGGGCTCCAAACGACGTATCATGAAATCTAAGAATCGAGCGTGTGCAAAAAAGATTCATACGACTTGCACTCAGAAACCTACCGTGGCGTGATCCTTTGAACCTTCCAGCATATCCCGATAGATGCCGTCTGCTTGACCTCGAAATGTTTGATCGAAGACGTAAGCTACAACAGGCTACGTTTATAGCTAAATTACTCAACGGTGACGTCGATTGCTCTTATCTTCTGTCATTTTGGTATGTCCACTCCTCAATTTGTAAATAGAGTAAGAAGACTGAACCTTATTTAAAACGAATAGTTTATTCATTAAGACAACTTTGTCAGATGAGGGGGAGAGGGGCTTAAGAAGTTGTGACCGGCCATGTATTAAGTATATCAAAACACGCTACGGGGGGTTAGGGGGGGGGGGGTTAATTGGTCAAAAAAATCTGCGTCATTTATGGATGGAGCCTTATTTTACTTCTAAGGCTGTGACCCATTAGGCAAGTTAAATTTATCTCGTGGTTAAAAGTGACCGATGAGTTATCGAATAACCCTGCTATCCGAGCGTGGTTATTTCTGACCGACTAGAAGTTAAATTTTGACAACCGTGGCTGAGTTCTGTTTGAAAACCGTCCAATTTCCGGGATTTTCGAACATTGGAAATAACTTTCGAGATGTCACGTTTAACCACGAGTTAAATTTAACTCGACAATTGGGACACAGCCCAAGAAGTATTTCTTGATTACTTTTTCGAAGGGACGTATCACGTATCAGCTTTTGTAAACAACGCATTTGATCGTCGACTTGGCGTAACTGGTAGCTCACCCACGCATGCTAACACTACCATCAAATAGGGGAAATTTCCCCCCTACCTGATATAGTGGTGTCAGTATGCGTGGGCGAGCTATCAGTTACGCCAAACGGACGATAAAATGCGTTGTTTACAAAAGCTGATATTTCCTTTCGAAAAAGTAATCGAGATTTGTAGAACGCGGGATCGTTATCTCGATCTCGACGGGAACGACGCGCAAGGTTCGAGGTGCAAAACTCGAACGCTGCGCGCTTGACTGGAACCGCTGCCTTCCTGCTGCTACTGCTGCTGCTATTGCTATTGCTATTGCTTCTGCTACTTCTGGAATCAAGAGCCACATGTGAAAAGGACATACAAGCTTTTTGTAAACAAACCTTTGTAGACCCTTTTCTCGCCAACCGAGGGTCGCCCACGCAAACCAGCCCTTTCATCGGGAAGGGAAAGTTTCCCCATACCCGATGATGTTGAAGGTTTGCATTGGTGTCATAAGGGTGGCGAAAAAAGGGCATAAGAAGGTTTGTTTGCAAAAAGCTTGTATGCCCTTTTCACATGTTGTGCTTGAAATGATAGGTTTCAGGGCTTTTTACATGCATAGTACAGCACTTGACAAAGAGCGTGTGGTTCTCCTATTTTCAACATACCTTCAAGAAAGCAATCCGCACAAAGAGCGGTGGAAAATTCACAATCTGTGCGGTGGAGAGAGCTAATGAAATACAAAATGCAACTAATGTCTTTTTTGTCATACATGCTTACCACAATAGCATGTGTAGGAGGAGAAGAAGAAGCGGAGGACCATGAAAAACGTCGACTTTCTGCAGGGTTTCTCATTTGCAATCCTACACTTAGTGCGCTCTTTGTGCCGGTCCAATGGCTTCACTTTGAGCGTTTTCGTTATTTCTCTGTGTGTATGTCTTTCTTCTCTTCTCCGCTGCTACGCACTTACGCAGTGAGAAAGGCTAACAACCTTCGTGAAAATTAGCGCACTACATGCATTGAGTAATACAATTACAGCCCTGGTGCGAGTTAAAATTTCCTGAAGTGGATTGCAATCAACGAAAGATTGAAACCTTACTTTCCGATCAATAAATGTCAGTATTGGTCACTTTTTAAAGTCACTATTTGGTCACTATACCTGTTCTTTTAGTCACTAAAGCCACTACTATTATATCACATACCCACTACCAGCCCTGCACTCGCCAAACCGCCTTCCCCTCTAGGTGTCTACGTAGTTTATGTACAGCAAAATTTGAAATTTTCGCTCCACAATACTTAAACGATTCCAAATCGGATCCTGACTAACCTCTCAAAATTTGAACCCATTTGGTGAGAAACTGAGATGGCACAAACCATTTGAAGTTTGTATGGGAATTACTATGGTAAAACCAAGATTTTTGTTCATGTCTATCTAATAATTCACCATATCGGTCTGCTTTAAAAGCTTTCAACTTTACTTGTAGGAAATTTTCCCAGCTACAACTTTGCTGAAGACCACTTTTTGATTAAATGCAAGAATCGAAAGTTATCAATGATTCAATGCGATGATGTCTTATGATCATGCTCAATCAACTGCTCAGCAGGCAACATTGGTGTTTCTGGGACGTTGAATAGGACAGAAAAATCATGGCTACTATGTCACACTGCAAAATACAGTGTTGCCTACAGAGCAGCTGCTTGATCATGTCATAAGTTTACCAATCTCTTAAATAATTAATAACTATTTCCTGTCTCGTTTTACATAGAAACGATCTTCAGCAAAGTTGTAGCTGAGAAAATTTTCTATAAGAATAGTTATCGAACTGTTTTGCAGTTCAATACGGAAAAAGACTAGAAGGCAATGAACAAAAAGTTGAGATTTCCCATAGTAATTTACATGTAAACTTCAAATGGTTTGTGCGAAGTCTGTTTCTAACCAAATGAGTTGTAACTTTTGGAGGCTAATCACGACCCGATTTGAAACCATTTAAGCACTGTGGACCGAAAAAGTCAAATTTTGCATCAGTCTAATGTACAGCCCCTTATACTTATCAAATTTCTAGTACCCTGTCTGCTGAAGACTTTCAAGTATTAGGAGTTGCGTGGTATAGGTTAATCCAAGTAAATTAATATACTGCATTGACATTTTTTTTTTTGAGAAATGCAATAAAGCTTCCCATCAACATCCAACTAGCATTTCAAGCTAACCAATCGCCTTTGCACTCTTATTTTCCAGGCTACCGCCACCAAAGCTACCCACGTGGCAAGACTGCCACGAACTGTGGAGTAAAAAACGACGAAGGCAGCTGCGTGAGCAGCAAGAATCTGCCGCCAACCTACCGCCGGGCAAACCAGCAATGGGCAGTAAAGCTGGCCCCGGTACCGGTGTAGGTGGTGCTCCCATCCGAGCGCCCGCCGCTGGTGGTGGTGGTGTAGAGTTAGGTTAGGTCCAGTGTAAGTGGTCCAGTCGTGTTAGGAGCTATCTATAGTGTCTTCTTACCGCCTGAGAGACAATAAAGCACCGCTGGCGGATGGAGCGGAAGAAGCAGAAGACGATGATGATGATGATGACGCCCAATGCCCAATTGTGTATGCAATCGTGACCGCGACGAGGCAGTGAAGCTCGGCAGGGAAGCTGGTTCTTCCTTTCCGCTACGAAGGGTAAGAGTACCGGCTTCTTCTACCTTGTTGTTGTTTATTTTAGGGTTTTCATTTTTTTCCGAGGGAGGGAACGAACAATAGACTTAAACAGTGGAAACTGTGTGCGCGTTTCTTTTTTTCTATTTTTATGAATGAACGGAAGGAAGTGTGGAATCTTGTAGAAAAATAGTGTATAAAAATAAAGTTAGTAGAAAACCTGTACTAAAATGTAAGTACAACTTTGTGTAAATTTGCTAAGACATTTTCTTAAATCATGTCACTGAAATTTTAATCAATTTCAATAAAATTTAAATATTTGAATTGATTTATTAAAACAAAACAAAATGCGACGATTTGAAGAAAGTGATTTAAGGTAGTAACTAGTAGAATTTGCCCAAAGTTGTAAGCATTAGCAAGTTGCTAAAGATACAAAACATTAAAAACAGATAAGATATGAAAGAGAATTTTGAATATATGAGATAGTGAGTTTATTAAAAAAAACAGGACAAAAAATATATATTGCAACTACCTAGGGTGAGCAACCGTATCCTTGTAAATTTGTTATCAATTGATAATTAGTATAAAAAAAACACAAAATAATTTCTCCCCTTTTTTCTGTTATCAAGGGAATTATTGCAAAAAAAAATCTACAAACTCCCAAGTTCCCGGATTCTCTAACATTGTTTTCGATTTTGTTCCGTTCAAACGACTCAGAATAAAACCTTTTGTTCGCTTGCCATGGACAAACATTAAAACGGATCTCCAACCTGGGATCGATCCAGTCACAAGAAATAACTGAAGAATCCCTTTCGCAATACACAACAAAACTACCAAAAGGAAGTACAAAGGCATCAAAGCAAAGCGGTGTATCATTCAAACAGACAGACAGAGTGCTTCTCTGTTTTCTCACTGTCATTTCCCGCATCGTGTTGTAGAGCAGAGGTTGACGCATGTGATGCAAAGTCTCATTTATTTGTACTAAAACAAATCTGTTACGGTACTTGTACAAACAAAAAAAACTAAAAAATAAAACAACACAAGCAAGAAGTAAACTGTTGGATTTCGAAAGGTGCATTAACGCAGCATTTGTGGTTATGATAACACTTTCATACCGCAAGACGGTTATCACCGCAATGAAAAGTATCAAAGAAGTTAGGTTAACGAAGGTAAAAAAAAACAGGACCCATTTTTTTTCTCACACAGGACTACTACTACTACTACTACTACAGGAGAGCGACTAAAAGTGGATGAGAACCAATTTATAAATAAAAAAAACTGTGCAAATAATAAATACTGCATTGTGTTTGGTGCGGAATAGAGCAAAAAGAAAGTCCTACGCTTCGTATCTATTCGTCTAGACTTCGACGCTGTAGGAACAACGAACCCAGGACTGGCTGCTGTGAACGCACTATGGGGCCGCCATTACAAATTGTGATGCTTTTTTTTCTTTCGATATACACGTTACGCACGTTACCCACTGAGTTGCACCCATCGCTCTTTCTCAGCGGGGTTTAAACTATAGATACTATAGATTCCATAGATAAGCGGAGGCACAAAAAGTTGTTTTGGCAACCATGAAAAATAAATGATCTTACTGGCATCCGTAAAAAAAAAGTTCATGCCATCCTGGGGGGACGTGCTGTCAAATCAGCCTACTGATTATCTTGTATGAAACTGGTTCCAAACGTAAACAAACGCTGTAGGTTTCTTATGGCTTGTTTACGTTTGGAACCAGTTATGCGAGGTAGGCGACGATTGTTCGTATTTGACAGCCACCTCCATCCCCCCCCCCCCCTTGATGCCATCATAGAGCTCTTCGTTGTACAGTTTTGTTTTGTTTCATGCGTAGAAGTACAAAATGCAGTGCAAAGCAAATCTTTGCAACAATGTATCGAGGAATGGTTTGCTTTATCTTTCCTTCTTCCGTTGTCCGCGAAATAAATCGGAATGTGGAGTGTGGAAAGCGTTTTGGGCTCATAATACACTGGAGTCGCTTTTTACGCGGGTGATACGTCCCGCGTAAAAAAAAACGCGTAATTCCGGAATCCGCGTAAAAAAAAACCGCGTAAATTTCGAAATCCGCGTAAAAAAACCGCTTGAAAAAACGTTTAGTTTATAACGATAAACCGCGTAAATTCTGAAATCCGCGTAAGAAATCAAAATCCGCGTAAAAAAAACCGCGTAAATTCCGAAATCCGCGTAAAAAAAACCGTGTAAAAAAAACTGCGTAAAAAGCGACTCCAGTGTATTACAATACTTCTCCCTCAAACAACACCATGATTAGGTCTGTGCGCTCTTTGAAACTCTTGGGGGTTATGCTCAATGATAAGCTCAGCTTCGGCTGCCACGTCGAGTACGCCTGCAAGAGAGCGTCTATGGCTGTGGGGGCATTATCCCGTATGATGTCAAACAGCTCGGCAGTGAATGCCAGTAAGCGCAGGCTCCTCGCTGGGGTCGTAGTATCTATCCTCAGATACGGCGACCCTGCGTGGGCTGCGGTACTGGATATTGACTGCCACAGGCAGAAATTAGAGAGCACACTCAGGCTAATGTGCTTGAGGGTGGCCAGTGCATACCGCACTATGTCGAGAGAGGCCGTCTGTGTCATAGCAGGGATGATGCCAATCAGCCTTATCATTAAGGAGGATGTGGTGTGCTATGACGCGAGGACCGTTCGAGGGGTGCGCAACAACGCGCGAGTTGTGTCGACCGCGAGATGGCAATCGGAGTGGGAAAACTCCACAAAGGGGAGGTGGACTTACCGCTTGATACTTTCCGTGTCAAGCTGGGTCAACAGGTGCCATGGGGAAGTAAACTTCCACCTGACACAGTTCCTGTCAGGCCATGGCTGCTTTAGGAGCTACCTGCATAGGTTCGGACATGCAAGTACTCCCATCTGCCCCACGTGTGCTGGTGTCGAGGAGACCGCCGAACACGTTGTGTTCGCCTGTCCACGTTTCGAGCCAGTATCGAGCGCTATGCTCGATGTCCGGATAACATCGTTCCTAGGATGTATGGTACCACCGAGAACTGGAGCGCGGTGGTGACTGTGGTCACCCACATAGTTTCGGTATTACAACGACAGTGGCGAGCCGAGCAGCAGTTTCCTACTGCCCGACTAGATCGTTAGAGTATTGCTAGAGAGGCGCCATAGCGCTACTGCGGCCCCTCCCACGAAGTAATGCCTTCGGGCGGTTCCGGGGAGGTCAAGGGCCAAGCGCACAGGGTAAGGTTTAGTGGGTCGGGAGTGAAATTCTCCCATCCCCACACCCTGAGTTGCTTCTCAGGTGTCTGTAAGCAGATTCCCACCTGTATAAAAAAAAAACAACACCATGATGATGCTCGTTTGGCTACACTAGCTGACAGTTCGTTTGGCTACATTATACTTTTCCTCCGTTTATCTATGGAAACTATAGTATCTATTGTTTCAACCAGTTGGTCTGATTTTTTGCATATGAGTAGTGCCAATGGAGAACTACACTGAAACAAATCGACATGTACCGTTTATTGGATCCATCTTATAACATAGCAATGTCAGCAGATTTATTCATTCTATGTGATGATTGATAGATTCCATTGGATTATCACTTAAAAACTATGTATGCGATATGGAATGATTTCTATCGTAATTTCACATACTTAGTACTTGATAATACCAACAATCAATACGAAACTAACGATTTTAAATTGGCTCACCATTTTAGTAGCCTATTGGTCCCAAGCAAACGATTAACATACCCTATTCTAGTTGAAATTCTATTACTACACTATGTTTGTTTTGATTCGCTATGAAAGTTTGACAGATAACATCAGGGGTGTGTGGATTCATGCAGAACATGCAGAGGTGAGTGAAATAGCTTGGGACTGCTTGGGACCGTTGTTCTGGTACTGAGTGAACCAAAAATAATAATGATTTTCTTCGGGACCCAGTGGTCTTAGAGTTACCTCTATGATAATACCATAGAGGTAACTCTAAGACTAGCAGGTCCCGAAATAACGTGCTCAACTTTTTGGCTCAGCTCTGGTACCAACAATCAATACGAAACTAACGATTTTAAATTGGCTCACTAATTGACTAGTCTATTGGTCCCAAGCAAACGATTAACGTATTCCATTCTAGCCGAAATTCTAGTACTACGCAATGTTTGTTTTGATTCGCTATGAAAGTTTGACAGATAAAATGAGGGGTTATTGGTTTTTCCTATGTTTCGAGGGGTGAATCGATTAGCTTGGGACCGAAGAGAGTACCAGAGCTGAGCTAAACGTTGAGCACGTTATTTCGGGACCTTCTAGTCTAAGATTTGCCTCTATGCTGGAGCTGGTACTCTCTTCGGTCCCAAGCTAATCGATTCACCCCTCGAAACATAGGAAAAACCAATAACCCCTCATTTTATCTGTCATACTTTCCACGTTAATCGTTTGCTTGGGACCAATAGGCTAGTCAAGTAGTGAGCCAATTTAAAATCGTTAGTTTCGTATTGATTGTTGATAATACTTTGCTTCGAGCGTGGTTAGCGATAGATAAGATGTATATGAATATTGTCTGATATATTTCATGGTGAAAAACTGGTGATATGTAATAGGGGAATTTACGTATTCTCGGCAACCTAAGCAGCGACCTTCTTTCTATAGCCTTTTTCTCTAAGGAACGCACGACATATGCAGTATTGGTTTGTTTACAATCTTTGCTGCCAGCTGCTCTAACAATTTCAGTCGAAAGAATTGTCAAAAACTGTTTTGAAACGCTTTTACAAAGCTCCAATCTTCTCTAGTGAGAGCGAGTATTGTCGGCAACCAGTTTTTCTTCGGCAACCGTTCCATTTGAACTGCATGTAAATCTGCTGTTCTATTATCGGCAACTCGAAATCAGCTACAATTTGTAGTGCGTGTGTTGCATTTCAAGAAAACCTTGCTAGATTGCTTTTTCTAAGTGGTAAAAATATAGTCAAATTGTGACTATTTTCCACCTAGGGGAAATGACGGCTTCGGCATGACAGACTATTTTCGGCAACCCAAATTGAAACACTATTTTTACCGGATTTTCTTACGAAAACACTTCGCTGAATGCATGCAAACGATTCTTTATGCTTTCAGCTTCAATTTGACTATATTTTTACCACTGAGAAAAAGCAATCTAGCAAGGTTTTCTTGAAATGCAACACACGCACTACAAATTGTAGCTGATTTCGAGTTGCCGATAATAGAACAGCAGATTTTCATGCAGTTCAAATGGAACGGTTGCCGAAGAAAAATTGGTTGCCGACAATACTCGCTCTCACTAGAGAAGATTGGAGCTTTGTAAAAGCGTTTCAAAACAGTTTTTGACAATTCTTTCGACTGAAATTGTTAGAGCAGCTGGCAGCAAAAGATTGTAAACAAACCAATACTGCATATGTGTGCGTTCCTTAGAGAAAAAGGCTATAGAAAGAAGGTCGCTGCTTAGGTTGCCGAGAATACGTAAATTCCCCTATATAGTCATATAGATTTGCCTTTTAAGAAATCCAACAGCAAACATTTGTTTTGGCATGTTTTTCAGGGATGAATATCGCTCCCAATAAAAAACATCTTACATGATTGTTCTTTATAAATTATTGAAACAATTTTCAACGATGTTATCGTACTTAATGAGGGAGGGAGCTTTCACAGTTGTCTTTTTTATTGTAGCTGATTTAGGATTCGATCAAGAACTGTTGAGGTGTGATGCTTTCGGTGTCTCCGCTCTATTCCACTGGGCCACGGCTGACTTCAAGATTAAGCTCGTTCAATTAGCATGAAGTAAGAACAGCTCTCCCGACATAGTATTTAGTGCAACGTTATGCTCGTTTTGCTAGAGAGAAGAAAAATAGCACTGACAAATTTATGCTCCGTTTCAGTGGTGTCGTGTATTCAAGTCTTTCTTAATGCTCCTGTGTGCAATAGAGAAATATTCATCATGAAAACAGGTATATTTTACTGAATTTTCTCATAGTGCAAACTTATGATTTTCCATTAGTTTCTAGATGTCTGTTCCCACTCATTACATATCACCAGTTTTTCACCATGAAATATATCAGACAACATTCATATACATCTTATCTATCGCTAACCACGCTCGAAGCAAAGTATTATCAAGTACTAAGCATGTGAAATTACGATAGAAATCATTCCATATCGCAGTCATAGTTTTTAAGTGATAATCCAATGGAATCTATCAATCATCACATAGAATGAATAAATCTACTGACATTG